AAAAAAAAAAAAAAAAAAAGAATCCTACAGACCAGTGTAATGCCCTCAGTCCTCTTGTACTTCCAGAGTACCTCGTCCATGCTTTCTTCTGTGTCATGCTTCTTTGTGCAGCAGAGCGGCTTACCCTGGGTCTCAATATGTCCCTGTTGGCATACCATATTTGGAGGTATCTGAGTAGACCAGTGATGTCTGGACCAGGACTCTATGACCCTACAACCACCATGAATGCAGATATTGTAGCATATTGTCAGAAAGCAGGATGGTGCTAATTAACTTTTTATCTCTTAGCATTCTTTTACTACTTCTATGGCACGATCTACATTTTGGTGAGCTCTTAGAACAGCACACGGAAGAATTAGTCCAGGTAAGTGCATGCAAAAAGCCACCAAGTGGAGGGATTCTATCTGACAAGATACTGTTTCCCAGAGTAGCCTACGGAATCTGATCAGTTACTTTAAAAAATGACTCCTTGTTTTTTAAAATGTTTCCACATTTTTTGTGTGTGTGGAAAGACAGTTTTCATATGTTATACTTGGATAAAGAATTTAAATGGAATTACATATAAATGAATATGAAATGATTACCTCCGGTGTTGACAGGTTACAGCCATAGTCCCTGAGTGATTGTAGTGATTACTGACTGTCCTTAGTCCATGGGAAGCGTTCGTTGACAGGAACTTGTAGGGCTCATTTGGTTTTATTAAGATGTGGTCTAATTATAAATTAGCTGTAGATGTCAGGTGCTTCTGATGAACTCAAGTGTATATCCAACTTGGGGGACCCTTCCTGGGTTTCCTCATCTCTCATCTCTCATGTAGATGATTATATATGAATATTATCTCTGTATATTGCATGAAGGAGAGATTTCCCATATTCCCATCAGAGTAATATGCTTGCTTTAACTCTTAAGCATAAGTGAACATGATATAAAAATGTATGCTGAGTTACTTGTGAAGAATGCATTTAAAGCTATTTTAAATGTGCTTTTATTTGTAAGACATTACGTATTAGGAAATTGGGTATTATGCTTACTGTTTAATCTGATGGTAAAAGTACTCTTAAGAATTTGCAAGTACTTAAGATTTTCAAAACTAAATGAGAAAATTGTGTAACCATCCTTCTCTTCCTTTAGTGCAATACAATAAAACTCTGAAATTAAAAAGAAAGAATCTGCTACTATTACAATAACATGGATACATATCATAGACCGTATTCTTAGTGAAAGCTGATATAAAAACGTACATGTTTTATGATTCTTTCATGTGAAGTTTAAGTAGAGGCCAAACTCTTTGTCACATGGTTAGTTAGAATAGTGAATACCTCTGTAAGTTGTTTGAGATTCTGGAGATATTCTGGATCTTCATTAGGCATTGGTTACATCATTTATACATGTGTAAAACTTTATCAAATTATGAATTTTAGACCCACGTATATGAATGAAAAATTCTAAAGTTTTAATAAAAATACTTAGCTAGATTTACCACGCTGTTGAGAAAAACCCATAAGATAGAGCATAGATGATAAAAAACAAACAACAATTATTTTTCTTAAAGAGTCAAGAGGATACATAGATGTGAAATGGAAAAAAAAATAATAAAAAACAAATAAAAAAAGCAGAGCAAGATGGAGTGGCCCTATAGCCCAAAGGTTGAGGTAGCCAGATTCACAGGGTCAACAGGTGGCATGGTGATTAAAGCGCTGGACTCCCACATGGTTGAGTCCCAGACCTGCACTTGCTTTCTCACTTTCCTTCTCTCTGTCTCTGTTTCTCTCTGGTGAGCACACATGCCCTCTAGTAAGTTTAAAACAGCAATAATACTAAATAAAATAAATAATAATGATTTTTTTAAGGTAGCCAGATTCCTACATGGGCAACCACAGCTTGGACCCCGGCCCCAGGAGCTTGAAAAATATGCTGAGCACATGTACACGCATGTGCCAAATCCTGACAGGATGGAGAACGGAAAGAGAAGTGACTGTGACGTGACCACGCCCCGTGGGGGTGCTTTCTCCTATTTTCTCTCTCTGTCTCCATCTCTCCCAGGTGAATGCAAGTACCCTCTGACAATTTAAAAAAAAAAGAGGGAGAGAGAGGGAATAAGAAATAGTTCCTGAAAAAAAATATAAATTTTATAGGAAACAAGAAAATTATCTAGAAAGTAGATAAAAAAATCAGGAGCTAGTCAATAAAAAGAGATTTTAAAAAAACTTTAGTCACTCCAGGCAAACATGCTTAACACAGGTCATTCTGATCTTTGTCCCTAATATTTTTCATACTAACCTTGGAAAAGACTAGAGTATATTTTCCCATAGCAATCAAAAAATATAATTTATTGTTTTTAAAATGTGGATTTCTATGTCTCTGATATTGTTGAACATGTCTTCAGATGTTTACTGGCCATTTTGTTTCCTGCTTGTATGCACTTTCATTATATTTTCTTCAAGTTTCTATTGCACTTTCTTCTTTTTCCTATTAATGTATAAAATCTTAAATAAATTAAGGATAAGAGAAAGAATTTCTCAAATATTTCCCTCTTCTGCTGCTATTTTTCTTTGTTTGACAAATTTATGTGTGTCTATACAAAGTAAGTTTTGTTTTGTTTTACTTTTTTCTATAAGGCATGTGCACTCATTATGGAGAGACAGAGAGAGAGAGAGACAGAAAGAGAGAAGGAAAGTGAAAAATCACTCCCAGGGGCTATGGCCACCTAGCAATCCCTTCTCCATTCTCTTTTCTCTAAATTTTGGGCTCACATGCACATACATCCAGTGTGAGTTTCAAGCCTCTGGATCTAGGACTTGAACCACGAAGTTGACCATGTGAGATCCTGTGCCTTAACCTCCACACCACCTACTGGATCCTGAAGTAACTTTTTTTCCTAAGCTTATTTATTCCATAAGTGAGAGAGGCTGAGAGAGAAGGACTGAGAGAGATAATAGCACCCTCAAGAGGGTCTTCCCATGAAAACCCACCCCAGCCTCAGCCAGTCTGGTGGCACTGAATACTCAAGGAGGTCTCTGGACTTGAACTGGCAACTTTCCCACGTGGGTCTACCTTGGAGAGCATCATGTTTTCCCACTGTGCCGCTGTCTGGCCCTCTGAAGTGGTATTTGAGAACAGAAGGCTACTTGGAAGAGCGAGGGGCGAAGGGCTTGACAGGAAGCGTATGTACAATAACACGTCCTTTGTCATGGTTCTGTGTGCAAAACATGGCTGCAAACGGTGTCAGTAAGTCAAGGTGAAGAAGGATGGAAGAAAATTGTTCTCATGGTTAAGCAATATTTAGGGAGTCTCCCATGTATCTATCTATATTATGTAATAAGGCTTTACAGAATAAAAGCTATCCCCCAAACCTGCGCAGAAGTCAAATCTTCCAACAACGACAGAAAGCCTTCTTTTTAAGAATGAGTATGTCTTTTGGCTAAGCATGGACGAAAGCTCTTGCTCGATACGGCATAATAACTCCAGCAGCCTCAGCAGCAAAACTAAGTCTGTCTCAAAGTGTCTTATTACAATAAAATCAAATTTAACCTCTTAAACCCAAGACATAAATCACTCACTTTCTTTCTCTTTCAAACAACTTGTGAGTATATTGCCATAAATACTACCTACCACAAGACTGAGAGCTGTCAGTAGCTCAGAAATATGAATAAAATTGAAAATGCATTTGAATATGGGAACCATGATAGCATTTTGTAGAGCAGTGACAATAATAAAAGGTTAAGGCAGACGAGAAAGGAAAAAAAGAAAACACTCAGGAATAGCAAAATCGAGAAAACTTTCTTCAAATTAAATAAACTCCCAAACCAGTCTCACCAGAGTTGTATTGCCACCAAACGTAACAGTCCATAAAATACTTACTGGCCCTTGGTAGTCTATAGCAGTGGCAAATTGAGTTTCCTTTGTGAATTTTATATTGAAAGTATGTATCAGGTTGCAGGGCATAATTTCAAAACTGCACAATCTGAGTTTATATTTCTTTCCAAATGATACCTGAAACCTTCATTAATATATGTCCGACAATGTAGAAATTAATCTCACCTGAATTCGGAAATATACTCTTAATTGCTAACTGGGATGAATAAATCCAGATGCCTTTTAAAAGATGGACGTCATTATATTTCGGATAAAAGAAGTTTCTTCCAAATTTATAAGCTTATTATGTGTCTCTTTTGCATTTAAAAAACATAGTATTACACACAATTTGGAAGGGTCTCAAGGGCAGCATGCTAAGTGAAAAAAGCTGAGCTCAAAAGGTTACAGACTTTGTGATTCCACTTACATAACATCCTTGAAATGACAAACTCCGTGCTGGAGAAGAGCTTAGCAGCTGTCCAGGAGGGAAAGGTGGAGTTGGGTGTAACTACTAACGGGGTAGGTAGCATGAGGGAGTTCCTATGTGTTACTGGAACATTCTGTGTAAGTTTCAGAAATTGATACATAGGCTGAAATTGCATAGAATGACACCCACGCACGCACGCACACAAAGGAGTGGATGTAAGAATGGCGAAACAGAACATTGGGTGTAACTACTAACGGGGTAGGTAGCATGAGGGAGTTCCTATGTGTTACTGGAACATTCTGTGTAAGTTTCAGAAATTGATACATAGGCTGAAATTGCATAGAATGACACCCACGCACGCACGCACGCACACAAAAGAGTGGATGTAAGAATGGCGGAACAGAACAAAATCGCAGTCCAATGAACAGTTTTCTACCAATGTCAGCTTCCTGGTTTATTGTTTGTTTGTTTGTAGGGGTTTTTGCTTTAGGGCAGGAGTGCTTGCCAGAGAGAGACAGAGACAGTGAGAGGGAATGTGAGAAATCACCCCCCGCCCCCGCCAGGGGTGATGGCCACACTGCAATCCCTTCTCCACTCTCCTCCCAGGATCTTTGGCATGCACACACATGTGCTCAACGTGAGTTTAAAGCCATCGGGCCCAGGACTCAAACCGCAGTCAGCCATATAGAAGTCTAGCGAATTAACTGCTATGCCGTCTGGTGGCCCCAGGTTCCTGGTTTTGATATTGTCCTACAGTTCTGAAATGTTATTATCGGAGGAATGGAGGTGAAGGGCTTTTGGGTCTCTGTGCAATAATGATAAACTCCTGGGAGTCTATAATTTTTTTTAAATGAAAAGGTTTTTGAAAACATGAAACAAAAATACTTTCTAAGAAAGTTTTTTAAAACACTCAAATATATTTTTTTCAGTTTCTTTCATTCTCTCACGAGGAAAAGAGAAAGATGAATTTCATAGGGCTTTACCTTA